GACCCAGGTTTGATTCCCAGCATCCAAATGATGGCTAACAACCATCCATATCTCCAGTTCCAGGGGATCCTATGCCCTCTTCTGCTCTCTGTAGGCTTTGCATTCAGAGCTCACTGTGTGTATTTGTGTGTGTGTGTGTGTGTGTGTGTGTGTGTGTCTGTCTGTCTGTCTGTCTGCCTGTCTGTGGTCATTGAAGGGGATATTGAATGCAGTGATATAAAGGGAAAGGGGGAATAAAGGAATAGGAAGGGTTAAATGAGTCAAGAATAGAACAGCAGAGCGGAGAAGGAAGTAATGGAAGGGATAATTAACACTAAAGATCATTTGCAAAGGTCACATGGAAACCTACTTCTATAGAAGCTTTATAAAATGCATATATGTAAAATATAAACACCATAAAAATAGTTTAAATAATCTTACCCTATATCAAAGGTTCAATATCTCTATCATGCTAGGAAATTAAAAGTTCAATGCCAGGAATGGACTCCCTCTTTCGGAGTTGTTGACCAGGGAGGGGTTCCCATAGACCCTCAAACAATAGTGACTATTTCCATTGCTCTTGGTTGTTTACCAGAACTTGACAATAAGACCCTATTGTTCAAGACACTATATATGTGAGTCATAGAACAAACAAGGAAAAATCAAAGAGTAATAACCTTGTAGTGTCTTCTCTACTGGCTAATATTCATAGTGTTAGAAGGTGCTATGCATGCTACAAGAAGAGAAATGTAATCATTAACCTTACCCAGCTATGAACCCTGCAAACGACAATAACAACTGGTGGGGCAATATATGTCTATGGGTACAAGAGTGGCTTGAATGTTATGGGAGTAACCAATCATCTTCTGCTCGGATTTAAATTCAGCTTCACAAGATGTAGCTCATGCCTGGTACTGTCATCAGGACCAAGAACATTTTTCTAGATAGTTAACAGGCTGAGGGGGCGGGGGGAGAAGCTACTACTATTATTCTACTAAATAGATATAATATTATGTCTGACTAACTCCTAATTACTTATTGTTATATCCATAGACTAGTACATCTTTCAAATTTCACCAGAGAAGCTACTTGCAGTTACATAGAGACTGATAACTATACGGCCAACATGTAGAGAATAAGAGATTTCAGAGTGTACAGCCCTAAATGGTATACCTATGTAACACTGTGTTCTAGTTTGTCTCTCCATTGCTCTGACAAAAACACTCTGACCAGTACCAACTTGGGGAGGAAAGGTTTTTTTTTTTTTTGGCTTATATCGCCTGGGTCACAGTTCATCAGGGAGTCCAAGGTAGAAAATCAGGGCAGGAACATGGAAGCAAGAGCTGGAGCACAGGCCATGAGGGAATGCTGCTTACTGGCTTGCTTCCCTGGCCCATGATCAACCTGCTCTCTTAAACAAAATAGGAACACCTGCCCAGGGGTGGAACCACTCACAATGGGCTGGGCTCTCCCACATCACTCAACAATCAAGAAAATGCCCCACAGATATGGCTACAGTTCAGTTCAATGGAGCCAATTCCCCAATTGGGGCTCCCTCAATCCAGGTCTGTCAAACTGACTACTAAAACTATCCAGCATACACCCACTTCTCCAAAAGCTCAGAGATCATTATGGAAGAAGAGGTGGAAAGATTGAAAGAGCCAGAGATGATGGATGAATACATCAAAACCAAAACCGTGTTGTCTGTAAACAACAGAAGAGTTGCACATACGAATCCAGTGTGCTTGTGACAGCATGCATAAGATCTTTAAATCAAAGCTAGAAAATCTATGCATGGGGGAGGTGGGCATAAAGCCTCGGTCCTAGCTGAGGATCTATTGGCCCTCTCTTCCACAATGGTCCCTAAGCCATGGGTGGGTGAGTTTTAATATAGGAGTTCTATCCAGGGACACACACTGCAGTCTCTTATTTTCTACACCTTGGCCAGTTTTGGCATTCTGTGGGCATCACTCTGTTGTATGAGGAAGATTCACTGGTGAGAGCTGAGAGACACATTAATATTCTCTCTACCCCCTCTTCCTCTATTTTCCTTGAACTTTAGGAGTAGAAGTTTCAATGTAGATGTGAAACTCAGGGCTGAACATCTCAGAGACACCTATTCTCTGTGTTTGACCAGTTGTGGCAGTCTATAATAGCATCCATTTGTTGATAAAAGAAGCTTCTTTGATGGATGGTACATGGTATACATGTGTGTAAACAGAAAGATCCATATTTATCATACAGTAAGACATTACATTTATCTAGGAATGTGACAGACTTATGGTTTTCTCTAGGATCTATGATCTCTCCAGCCATGAATTTTGGTTATGTTTTTACTGCCACACATGAGTTTTCCATCACTAAGAGTGTTTTAAGCCCAATTAGATAGCTGTAGATTACCCCCAAGATAAAAGTGTCACTACTGTATCAATATAAGAAGTTTGAGGATTATCAAAACACATTGTACTAAATTACTAAAGCATCAACAATATATTTTTTAAATGAAAAAGTACTTAGATAAATAAAATAATATTCAAATGTTTTATATTTTTATGTATTCACAACTATATGCATTTATTATAATAAAAATGGTTAAAATGTCATTTCTATCATATTTCCAGGCCAGCTAGATGTCTAAGCATTTAAAGGCACATCCCCCTGCCCCCAAGGTTGATGACCTCAGTTCAGACCAGGATCCACATAGTGAAAGAAGGCAACTGATTCCCACAAGTTGTCCTCTGACTTCCATGTGTGAACACATGTGTGGGTACATACACACACATACACACACACACACACATATACACATACACACACACAAATGTAATAAAAAATCATTCTAAATCATTTCCTAAAATTGCTAATGATTTCACTGTTAAATTTGAAAATACAAAGTAGATAAACAGGTACAACTCTAGGGCGTGTGACCTGTCCAGCCATGGGATTTTGACCAGGAACACAAGACCACACATGATACTCCCTCCTGTGGAGAAGGCCTAAAATCTAATTAGAAAAGTTCGTTATCCCATAAGCCTGTTGGGAGCTATTAATCCATTATGTACATTGAGCTGTGGCAGGCTTGCTTGTTTACTTAGAGTTTGTGTTTTGACCTAATCTGCCAAGTCAGGAGGAATGTGTTTATATGGTGGAGTTCACAACAAGTATTTGACCGCTCCTTGACCCTAAGATACAGGTGGGAAAAACAGCTGTTGAAATTAGTGAGTTAAGCAAACAGTGGCTATCTCTAATGTTCTTCTGTATAAAAAGGCCAAGCTAAAATAAACCAGGCCTGCAGTCTCCACTGACAGTCCTCCCAAGTATCTTTTCTCTGTCTCTTGTTTTTTCTTCCAATCCTCACTCCCCCTTTCAGGTACTATCCATCTTGGCCAGCTGGCACTGGCAAGTGGCGCCCAGAACAGGGACCTGAAAAGTAGGGGAAAAAGTGAAGGAAACCGCTGGAGAAATTGAGTGCACTCGGTAAGATTGGGGAGCGGTGAGTATTTATCTTGGGAGAAGATGAGGCAAGGAAACAGTTGCTCAGTTTTTGTAAGGAATATGCTTGGGGTCCGAGGAGCAAAGGCTGAGACTAAAGAGGATAATCTGATAAGCCACGGCTGGGATAAAAGTGAAACAAACCTTCTGCTCTGCCAGAGCCAGCTCCATTAGCCTTGTCACCCTTTTATGAGTTCCCCCATCTGGGGCTAGAAGAGGGATCTCTTGACCCTGAGGATGAGTCTGCCCTAGGAGAGGAGACAGTTGAGTGTGATCAGGAAAAGTATCCACCTCTAATTTTTTTGCCTGAGAAATCTGTCACTGGGAAATTGAGAAATTAAGGGCAGAGTTAGAGGCTGTGAAGAAGGAAATGTTAAAGAACAAAGAGAAAAGAATTAGGACCACCCCAACACCCTCTATCATGGTAGGATTAGATCCTCCTCCTCCTCTGAGGCTACCAAAGGTTGTTGTGCCTCCCATGATTGCCATGGCTCAGGAGCCTTCGGCAGGAATCTGGTAGCTGCTTAGAACCATGCAATCTCCACTACAACAGGCCATTGGGGCCACAGTAGAGCGAGGAGAGTCAGTGCATGGATTTCAGGTCTTCCCAGTTTCTGAGCAAGTTGATCAGCAGGGCAACAGGGTGCGGCCTCATGCACCTGTGCCTTTTAAGCAGCTTAAGGAACTAAAGACTGCTTGTGTTCAGTATGGTCCTACTACCCCTTTTACCCAGTCTCTGTTAGAATCCCTGTCCACGGACACACTTCCGCCTGGCGATTGGAAGCAGATGGTACATGCTTGCCTTTCAGGGGGAGATTATCTGTTGTGGAAATCTGAGTATGTGGAACAGTGCCAGGTGACAGCGAATGCCAATAGAGCGCAGAATATTCCCATAGATTTTGATATGTTAGCTGGTGAAGGACAATATAGGGATACTGCTCAGCAGTTGCAGTACGATCTTGCTGCCTATGTGTAGATCAATGCTGCAGCCCAAAGAGCCTGGTATAAACTGCTGTCTAGTGGTAGGCAGACTGAGGATTTGTCTAAGATCAGGCAAGGTCCAGATGAGCCATATCATGATTTTGTGTCTCGATTACTGCAAACTGCCAGTCACTTGCTGGGGGACAGTGAAGCAGGTTCACTTTTAGTGAAACAGCTTGCGTTTGAGAATGCCAATGGAGCCTGTCAAGCTGCTATTAGGCCTTTTAGAAAGAAAGGTGATTTATCAGACTATATAAGATTGTGTTCTGATTTTGGGCCATCTTACATCCAAGGAGTAGCCATGGCTCCGGCATTGCAGGGAAAGCCTATTCAGGAGATACTTTTTCAACAAACAAAAGGATCAAAAGGATGGGTGGCTGGACCTGGGGGGAGCTGCTTCAGATGTGGCCAGTTGGGACATCAAGAGAAACAGTGCCCTAATAAGCAGAGAGGAGGTCAGAGAAATAAAGAGCCAAGCTTATGTCCCCATTGTAAATGAGGGAAGCATTGGGCTAATGAATGCAAATCAAAAAGTATGTTATGGGGAACTTGCTTCTGCAGGGAAACAGGGAGCGGGGCCAGCCCCAGGCCCCAAAACAATGTTATGGGGCGCTCCAGACACTCATTCCCCAGCAGGGAAATCCATTCAAGACCTCTTCAGGGCCACCACAGGAAGCGCAGGACTCGACCTCAGTGCCTCCACCTACACGGTATTAACCCCTGACATGGGAATGCAAGCCATACCTACAGGAGTGTATGGGCTGTTGCCAAAAGGAATGGTGGGATTGGTATTAGGAAGAAGTAGTGTTACCATGAAGGGAATTCTGGTAGCTCCTGGAGTGATAGATTCAGACTATCAAGGTGAAATCAAGGTTATGACTCATTCCCCCTTAGGAATTGCTGTAATAGAGTCAGGACAAAGATTGGCACAATTGGTACAATGCTCCCCCTCATTCACAGTGGCAACAATAGTAAAAATCAGCATAGAGGGGCAGGTGGTTTTGGTTCCTCTGATGTTTATTGGCTACAAGCTATCAGTCAACAACGACCTGAATTAGAGCTAATTATTAATGGGAAAAGATTTAAAGGACTTTTGGACACTGAGGCGGATGTATCTGTAATCTCAGAAGGAAAATGGCCCTCAGCCTGGCCAAAGCATACCTCCATGACAAGTTTGCAGGGCATAGGGCAAAGTCAGAGTCCATATCAAAGTAGTGATGAGCTACATTGGAAGGACCTGGAGGGACATGAAGGTTCCTTTACTCCCTACATTGTGAAGGGGCTGCCCATTAGTCTTTGGGGGAGGGATGTGATGAGTAAAATGGGAGTCTATTTATATAGTCCCAATGAGCAGGTTTCACAGCAAATGTTTAATCAAGGAATGCTTCCGCAAGCTGGATTGGGAAGAAATGGACAGGGAATTCAGGCACCATTACAAATGTGCCAAAAACTGGATACAAAAAGGCTAGGATATTTTTAACAGAGGCCATTCAACAACCCGCACCTCATGCTGATGCTATAACATGGAAATCCGAAAAGCCAGTATGGGTGGATCAATGGCCTCTTACCCAGGAAAAAATAAAAGCCACTGAGCAGTTAGTGCAGGAACAGCTCGATAGCGGACATATTG